ACAAATAGATGTTGCGAACTCTTTCCAATCTGGTCATCTCGAGCCATCGCTACGTCTTCGTCTGGATCCTTCACTGACCTCCCGCTTTATACAATCGCTACCAACGACCTATCTTATAATGTGTCCGGGGACCTCAACATCAACAATCTACTTTCTACCAACAGATTGCACCTCTCCATCTAACAGTACCAAGCGCACCGTAGATCGATCGAACCCTGCCAAACATGCTATGGGCCCCGCCGAACTCCCCCTTCTCTTCTCTTCTCCTCTCTTCCATTTCAGTTCAATTCTCTTCAACCTCAAAACCCATCCTCTCATTCCTCTCGAACCAGACCCCCACCCTCTCCTCCCCCTCCCCCAACACTCACTCCTCCTCATCCTCCTCTTCAACTCCCCCCTCCGCCCCCAGCAGCGAATTCCCCGCCACCTTCGGCTTAATGTACACGCCATTACCCTGCAAGAACTCGCGAAACGGCGACGACATATCGCGCTCCGGGCCAGGGTCCTGCGACGCCGACTTGCCGCACGTGAAAGCCACGACGTAGCCGTCGGCTTGGTCGATGTTGAGCGCGAGATCCTAGTATCACCAAGCACGTCAGCGAGCCATCTAAACCAAACCAAACCATGCCAAACCAGTCCGTCCATAAACGAATTGCGCTGAACTAGACGATTCGGTGCGAACTGCACACTGCGCACTACGTACGTACCTTAACCCTACACCCCGAACACGCCCTACAACTCCTCAACGCCTTATCCAACCCCGCATAGTTTCCATCCAACCTCCACTTAATCTTGCCCTCCATACGCTCAAGCACATACGTGCTGTCGACGCCCAGCCACAGGCGCTTGACGTCGGCCCACAGCGCGGCGTCATGCCCCTTGTGGATGCTCTTGGGCAGGTTGTACTTGTAGGCTTTGCCGGTGCGCATGTAGAAGTAGCCGCGGGGGCCGAGCGAGACGGTCGTGGGGCAGGCGGAAGGGTCGCGGCTGGAGAGGTGCGAGGCGAGAGAGGGGTAGGTGGTGGGGAGGTTGGGGGAGAGTTCTGTGGGGGTGGGGGGTTAGGAAGGGAGGAAAGGGGGAGGGTATGGGGGTGGGGACAGGGGGTGGGGACGGACGGACGTACGCGTTTTGCAGCGGCCGTTGCGGTGGTAGTGGTGGTACCATGTGCGGTTGGCGCCCATGCTGACATACTTTGTTCGGAACTCGCCGTCGGGCTTTCCCAGCTTAAGTTTGCTGCGAGACTCGTATCAGTAACTTCCCCCAGCCACGGTAGCTCAGATCAAACATACGCGGTATAGTAATTCGGCCCCAGAAAATAATACCGATCCGAATTCATGCTCAGACTAAACTCCTTGCTTGACCGCCACCCAGCCGGCGGCCTCAACTCCTCCTCTTTAGCCTTCCCCCCGCCCTGGCTCTTCCGAAACTTCTTCTTCAGCTCCTGCATCTCCTTGTCGCGCAGCTTGCCTAGCTTGGCGTTGGCCTTGCGCTCCTTGTCCAGCTTGCGCTCGACCTCAGCGATCTTTTCCGTCTGCAGCATTTCCATGTCGGCTTTGAGTTTCTCGCGGTCGAAGTTGATCTGCTCGATGCGCTTGTTCATGTCTTCCTGCTGCTCGCGCAGCAGCTCCTGGGCGAGTTCGTCGCGTTCTTTGAGCGCGGCTTGCATGTCGTCGTGGGCGTCGGCGAGGATCTTCTCGAACTTTTTTTGCTGGCGCAGCAGCGCGCTTTGCACTTCGCGGCCTGCATCCGTCTGGTCGAGCGCTTGGTGGTGGTTTACCATCTGCTCTTGTATGGCTAGGGTTACGCCCGATCGGCTGGTTTTGCTGGCGACGAAGCGTTTGATGAGGCTCATGGCTGAGGTTTGGGTGTTGTGGTGCCGGAAGACTTCCGATCCGTTTTCTACAAAGTGGCCCCAGTACTCTTGGCGAGTGACTAGCTCTTGCTCACGCTGGGATCCTTCTTGCTCGGAAACGTTGTCCCATCTGGTCGTCGTTAACACGACTTTCTTCAGTGCGTCGTCGCCGCAGAGCTTTCGGAACATTAGAAGGTTGCGTCTGCCACTGCCTTGCATTCGAGGATTATCGATCCGGTGGAGATATACAATGCCATCGAGCCGGATGTCGTGCACGTAGGAGTCAGTCAGCCAGGTCGCGATCTCCCTCAGGACTTCAGTGTCCGACCGATCCGTGTCGTCGAACCCAGGTGTATCGATGAGGTAGACGTTGGCCAGCGAGCCTGGGATATGGCACTGATACACGCCAACTTCTTGGGTGCCTTATTCATAAGGTAAGCATGAGCTTGCTCGACAGTAACGCCACTTGACATACACGACTGGAGGTTATGTCCAATTGGAACTTCCAGGTGTGAGCATTTGGAGATCAACGTGCTTTTGCCGGATCCAGTGACGCCCATGACGGCAATGAATATATCTGATTCATGTCGCTCGAATCCACCGGTGAAGTTCTTGGCCGATGGTTGCGACTCTGTTGGGGAAGCCTCGGGGGTGAAGACATCTGAGACTGCATCGGGCGAGCTCGACCGAGTCACACGTAACGGAAGTACTTGTTCCGACATCCTCGCGTGTGCTCGCTCTTGATAATATGGTGGAGACTTGTCGAATTTTTAAATAGGGGCAAAGACAGGTCGAGTACAGTATCTCAGAAAATCAATGACGACGACAGAGAGAGAGAGAGGTAGAAAACGACACATGCGGGAACGAAAGTAATAAACAAGGCTCAGCTTCGCGGTCTTCGAAGATACCTACATAGCCCTGGGCATCAGCCGCACTTCGCGCTGGCCGTCACCAGACGAGCGGGGAAGTGGGGGTTTTGTCATTTTACCGCCTGGCCGCAGCCTCATAAGGCATATAGTGTCCTCACTGGTTAACGACTATAAATCTGCCTAGTTGCCTACCTGTCGCGTGGGCGCATGCACATACTGCGCCCTCGTATTGATAAGCGGAGTGGTTCCACCAATCGCGAGAATGAGGCTGAGCCGACCTCGCGATGGGCACAGCCTCCAACCCAGCGGTGACGCAACGGGGATATGTTCTGTTCCTCAAAGAAAAAGAGCGAGTTAGTTTCATCCTTTGCTCACGGTTCACGAAACTGTTTTTGAAAAGATGGTGTTAGTGGTTGTTCTACGACGTGAAAGTAAGAAAGCTAACCGGGGACAGGAACGTCATGCCTTCGGACCTGATCGTACTGGTTATGGGAATGACGGGTGTCGGGAAAAGCTCGTTCATCTCTTCTCTCGTGGGAGAAGATGTTGGCATTGGCCATGGAGTGGATTCTTGTGCGTGTTCGCTGGACCGAATCATGGAAAGCGAGACTCTGATCGAAGAACAGGTACTGCCGGCCTTACCCTCCACTGCATGGAAGCCGAGAATCGGAAGGTGTACCTTGTCGACACTCCCGGGTTCAACGACACATGGCGCTCCGACGATGCGATTCTGAAAGAAATCGCCTATTTCCTGGCCCAAACGTACCGGACGGGACTTCGAGTAGGGGGCATCGTCTACTTACATTCTATAGCTGAGAATCGTGTAACCGGGTCAGCGGCAAAGAACTTTGCGATGCTGGAAAGACTATGCGGGCCAGATGCTGCGAGGCAACTCATACTAGCGACCACGAAGTGGGACCTCGTCGGCGACGAGGCAGACCAAAGGGAGGCGGAACTTATCAGTACGAAGAAGTTCTGGGGCACCATGTTCGAGAACGGAAGCCGAGTCCAGCGCTGGGATGGCCATCGACCCTCGGCGCTGGCGATCGTGCAGAGCCTGACAGTCCGCGCAGACACCTTCGATCTCGTCCCTTTGCGCATCCAGCTCGAGCTCGTAGACCAAAGCCTCGCTCTCGAAGACACCCTAGCCGGGCAAGAAATCCTCCAAGTGTGCACACAATCCTGGCAAAACATCCGCGCCGAGCTCGACGACATCCGCACGGAACTAGGCCAAGGCAACCGCGACTTCGCGCACGCATCCGACACGCAGACGCGGCGCACGCGGCTCCGCAAAGACCGCGCGGCGAACGACGCCTTGCTGCAGCAGGCGCTGGCGTCCGAAGACGCAGCCCTGCACCACGAGCTCACGCAGCAACACCAGAAGCTGCAAGCGGGCGTGGACACGCGCCTAGCCGCCTCGTGTACGCAGATCGTCAAGGAGAAGAAGCGCAGCGTCGTGCGTCGCAATGTTATACCGTTGCTGGCGTGTCTGGCGGGTGTGTCGACGATCGCGGCGGGGGCGGCGACGGCGCTGATCCCGATTGTTGCGGTGGGGATTGCGGTGACGGGCACGGCGGCGACGAAGTTGGATTTCCATCGTGCGCGGACGAGGAGGAAGGAGGAGGAGCCGTGGGAGATTGCGGAGTATGATGATTGATTGATGGATAGATGGAGGGAGAGTTGCTGGGTGATAGAGGGAGCGATATGGGCGATGGAAAGCCGTCGATGGAGTACCGCTAGCTGGATTCGGACGGTAGACGCTGTGCTATCCCATATCTACAACGCGCGACTCTCCCCATCATCATATTTCCTACATAATACCTATTCCATGTAAACCACTCATAGTACATATTGAGCACACACAAAACCTAGTTCATAGTTCCGTTCTAACGCTTTTCCGCATCAGCGCTTGCTTCAGCAGCCATGATAAACGGAGTACGTACCTAGCTTGCTGTACTGTAGAACCAAATAAATTAAAGTGACCTACTTTGCATACAAAGAGAATACTCCCTAGCAAAGAATGTTGTATAGACAAACACAAACACACTCGTAGAGACGCAAGCAAACATTCTGCCCAAGTAGCAAACAAACTACCTAGAATAAAAATGCCCCGCCCACTAGCCCCCTCGCTTACCCCCCTCCTTCCCACACACACCCCCCAAATTCCCCCCTGTCACCTCTCTCTCGCCCCACCCCACTCCCTCCCTGCCCCTCCCCACTCCGCCCCCTCCCCCATTATAATCCCCCCCAACCCGCAAACCTCCATCAAACAAACAAACGGCTTCATGGTCTAGTGGTATGATTCCTGCTTTGGGTATTCCAAACACACAATATGCAGGAGGTGAGTCATTATTCCCAACTATCTGCGATGGACCAATCAGCTAACGAGCCTTCCAGGCCCCGCGTTCGAATCGCGGTGGAGCCCGTTTACAAGTAGCCTTCGGGTGAACAATTTTTTTGGATTGGATTTTTGTATATGTATGCGTATTGATTGATTGATTGATTGATATAAGAGAGAGAGACTGGTGAGTGAAGGGGGAATTTTTTTTGGGGGGGCGGGCGGAAAGGCGCAGGTGAGTGCGCACATCGCACATCCCTTATCACGTACAGCTCTCTCTCTCTAGCATGTCTCTCTTTAGGTACAGGCACTGTTCCTTACGTACACTGCACTGTTTATTTCACACAGATAATTCAGCAATGCAAACTCTGTAATGGCCTTCAGGTATACTATCCAAGGCCGTGCAACCATAAATCATACCAGTCTCGTAAGACATGCCATACCCTCACATCAACCCCATAATACCCCATATAACGCCGCCCATCCGACGCCGTCCTTGATATAGGTATCGCGCGAAACCCTATCCCTCGAAAATGCAGTACAACGATGTGAATGAGAGAAATGACAGAACAGTAACACACCCACACACACACCACATATATCCATACGCCGCCGTTGCCTAAAGATTCCCGATAACGACCATAAACCGCAACTTGCCATCGCCCTTCTTCTCCGGCAGTCCCTCGCCCTCGTCACCACCCCCGTTCAGCGCGACTTCATCCAGCATCAGCGTGCTGCTCTTCCAGCCCCAGCTCTGGCTGAAGTTGAACCGGTCCGGGGCGCTCTCGTAGATACTCAGCATCCTGCCGCCTTTCGACGGACTGTAGATCTTGAAGTACGTTCTAATCGTTGGGCGACCGTCTACGTACGGCGGGAGGGTGTATGATTTGCGCCCAGCGGGGTTCGCGAGGGAGGGGTTCGGGTATGCCGTGTTGGGCTCGTCCTCGTCGTCGGATGAGTCGGAGCCGTCTTCCGAGGCCGAGTAGAACCTCATGGGGAAAAAGGGTGAGTCTGCGCTTTCGCCCTCGACAGGCGAGGTGACGAGGGGAAGGAGCTGGGTTTGAGATGAGACGCGGGCGGCAGGGAGTCGGGGAACAGTCCCATTTCGTCGCCGGCCCATGCTGCTTGAAAAGAGAGAATTTTGAGATCCGTTCGAGACGAGCGTGGCATCCGCATCGCCGCCGCTTCCGCTGGTGTCGTCTTCACCAAGGTGCAGGGTGAGCGGTGCGCGAGTACTTCGTCTACGCTCACGACGTTCACTCCGCATAAGCATCTCGCGCTCAAGCTGACCGATGCGCTCATCGACAGATCGAGGAGACTGTTGATTCAGACCGTTGCTCTGTTCGTCTGCCTCGCGCTCCTTCGCACGATGCAGGTAAACCCCCAGCTGTACATTCTTTGCAGATCGAACCTTTTGAATGTATATGTTCCACAAAGACCCCGCGTAGGATACCGTTCGCGAATAGACCCGCTTCTTTTCTTTTAGAAATCGTGGATTAGGGAACTCGGCAGAGAAGCGGAAAGGTGGAAACTCAGTAAATGCGATCGGTCTGGGTTGCCCCGCATTACTACCACCTGCGGACATAGGTCGGATTGGGTGGATGCTGGGATTGATCATCATCGACGGCGAAGACGCAAAATCTGTAGCCCACTGCGCATCTTCGGGCTGCATGGTAGCAGAGAGACGGTTGGCATGGCGCTGAAAGGAGCTAGAGGTAGTCACGACAGGATCCGACCCGTTTCCAAGCACAATATTGCAGTCGGAGCTTGGAATCCAGAACTTGCGCGGTCTCCCATTGCCATCCCAGCTGCCAGAGTCCATTTCTGTTTCTTCGTTCGTGGCGTAGTCTATCGCTTTCTGTTTGCCTTTGGAGGGTGCATCCTCATCCGGCCTAGAGTCGGTACTTGTCCTGGCTGGTTCTGGAGGAGATTTGCACAGGCCCAACTCCTGAGAAGACTCGTCTGCATTCAGTACTTTCTGACGTAGTGCTAGTTGCTGCCACAAAGCATTCGAGATGACCTTCTCGGGCATGACCGGTAGACCGAATATGTCGCGTGCAGCCCTGATGTACTCTAACTGTTCGTAGTCCATGTGAATGTAGTGGATGCCTTCGTCCAGCAGCACCAGAACGCGCTCGACCTCAGGATTCGTATAGAGAGCGAGCCACTGGCTGTGCTTGTCGGATGTTGGTTGCGGTGGTGCACTCTGGCGGTAGACGGCATCGAATCGGACCGCCATGAGCGACGACGAGTCCGGAGCCTTTGGAATCGGACGTTGTCCACGTTGGACTAGGCCAGCCTCGATGGCGGCCTGTCGGAGGCGGCGGTCCAATATACGCTTGGCCAACACCCATCGGTCCCACTCACTGTCAACGAAGAATCCATCCGACGCAACCAGCTCCCGGATAACGTCTCCAGGTATCGTGTCCCAGTATTTCAGCGGCATCTCCCAGCCATTCCGACTCAGCATGGCTTTTGCGGACTCCAGGATACGGTCCCCAGAGCGTCCATAGTAGTTGGCGGTAACAAGTCGGATGAGCGGACCCAGGAGGTCGGGCGTCATCTGGCGTAGGATAGACTCGATGGCTGCATCTATCAAGTCTTGCATCTCTAGCCAACAGCCCGTAGCGAACAGGCCAACAGCCTCGGCGTCGCTCTCTTTCGAGATATCGACGCCGTACAGCTTCTTGATTGCCAGTTCAAACGCAGCCGGTGTTATACTGATATCGATCTGTTCTGGGTAGAGATTGACCTCCTTTGATCTGCTTTCCAGCCAGGGTTCGGACAGGGCCGAAGTGAAGAACGGTGCGCGGTCGAGAATCAGTCGGTGGAGGTTGTAGCTCTGGCCGAACGCTTTCACGGTGATGTCAGAGTGGCGGCCCTCGAGCAGTCCGCGGGTGTAGAGGTGGTCAGGAAGCGATCTGGACTCGTTCGACGCTGTGGAGAGTTAACAAGGGCTTCACCGCCTGAACACTAGCAGGACTACCTCGCAGGTACAAGGGACCGGTAGCATGGTTGTATGACGGGGTGCGGGAATTGGGCATGGTACTATCCCCAGCAAACAGACGACTGAGGGTGGTTGATGTCGTGTGCTCGCGGCCGCGAGTGTCGTTTCTTCTGCGGTTGTCGACAGGCGTAGTGGGGTCGTCGGTGGCCTTCTGAGCACTGGGAAGTTGCGTGTTGAAGCGCACGCTGGGCGGCTGCTCGTCCGAGACAGTCAGTCTAGCGGTGCGCTTTGTCATGCTGGAGACGCCGGAGAGTGTGCTCAGCGGGCGTGAGGAGTTGGACGACAACGAGCTGCCCACATGGACGTGAGTAGAGCTTGTCGTCGAGCCCAGGCCGGAGGAGAAGAGGCTAACATGTGGGTTGGAGGCGGCGCCATCTGGGTCACTTTCCGAAGGCAGGGTCCAGGCAGAGCCGAGCGATGACGTGGGGTCGGGAGCATCGCCCTCGTGCTCGTCGGCGGGAGTGTGATCCAGAGCGCTCATGGTGACGGCCTGCAGTTGGCCAGCATAGGGCGGGCTATCGGCGCCGGTGCAGCGGAGGCTTTTAGCTGATAGCGGCGTGTCTGGGCTGGCGGCTGGCAGTACAGTACGTACAGAACCGGAAAACAGACGTGTGCGACGACAGACTGCGAGACAAGGCGGATGGACTGTGAGGACAGACGAGCCCGCAGAGAAAACGGCAGCACAGGGACTCAGAAAAAGAACGGAGGGGAGGAGTGTGCTGGCGAGGAGTGCACTGTGGCAGCTGCGTCCGACGTCTGACGTGTGACGTCTGATGACGGTGCCGTGTCATTTGGGAGGGGCGGCCTGTGCAGGGTCCCCGCCCGCGCCTTTCCGCTTCGGGATAAGGACGCGAAGACGCAAGCGCCATAGCCGCCGTGGATGTCAGCAGCGCCAAGCCGAACCTCTAAAAGTCCACCAGATGACTGCGACATCACTCCGTCCACGCTCACTCCTCGCCCGCCCCGCCTCCGATGGCATCCATCTTCCAATCCTTCCCGCAGCTGCGGACGGCAGCACCACGACTCGCCCGCCGGCTCTTCGTGCCCCCGCCATGCCTCAACGCGCCCATCAGCTCGTCCGCCCGCGCGGCCCCCGCCCCTCGCCATGCACGCCCGAAGCCGTCCGTCCTGCACGCCGTGCGATATAAGTCCACGCAGCCATTGAAGAGCAGCGCGGCTACAGCTCCTTCCTCCGCCGGTGACCACGCCACACGCCCCGAGACGACAGTCAACACGGACGGCAGCAGCGGCTCGCCCAAAACCAGCTCCAAGAGCGTGGCGTACTGGCTGTTGGGCAGCGCAGCGAGCGTCTTCGGCATCGTCGTGTTCGGGGGGCTCACGCGGTTGACCGAGTCGGGGTATGCTCTCTCTATGCTATACTAGACAGCCCTTTCACACAACGCTCCATCCTAACAACCCCAGCCTGAGCATCACCGAATGGCGCCCGGTCACCGGCTCGCTGCCGCCCCTGAGCGCCGCCGACTGGGAGCGCGAATTCGCCAAATACCGCTCGTCGCCCGAGTTCGCGCGCCTCAACGCGAACATGACGCTGCCGGAGTTCCAGCAGATCTACTGGATGGAGTGGACGCACCGGCTGTGGGGCCGCCTCATCGGCGTGACCTTCCTCGTGCCGACCGTCTACTTCATCGCGCGCCGCCGCGTCCCGGCTTCCATGGCCGCCAAGCTCGTCGGCATCTGCGCCATGATCGGCTTCCAGGGCGTCATCGGCTGGTGGATGGTCAAGAGCGGGCTGAAGGACGACCTGTTTGCGCCGGGCAGCCACCCCCGCGTCAGCCAGTACCGGCTGGCAACGCATCTGGGCGCCGCGTTCGTGGTGTACTGCTCGATGCTGTACACGGGGCTCTCGATCCTCAAGGAACACCGCATGCTCGCCGACCCCGCCGCCGCCCTCGCGAAGCTCGCAACGCTCAACCACCCGGCGCTGCGCCTCTTCCGCGGCTCCGTCGTCGCCCTGTCACTACTCGTCTTCACGACCGCCATGTCGGGCGCCCTGGTCGCAGGCCTCGACGCCGGCCTCATCTACAACGAATTCCCGTACATGGGCCTCGGGCTAACGCCG